ATATAACTATACAGCTCATTAATGGGTTAATTGTCATACTCTGAATATAGAATGTAGATAAGATTATGGTACTAAAGCCATGCTAAATTTCCTGACTTTGAAACTGAGCTGAGGTTATGTAAGAGAATGTCTTTGCTATTAAGAAATAAAACCTAAATATTTAAGGGTAAAGGGGTATGATATCTCCAAATTATTCTTAAATGATTCAGAAAAATATATATATATAAAATATTACATAATGCAGTTATATATCTGAGAGAATGATAAAATGATAAATGATTTAAAATAATGTGGCAAAATGTTAACAAATGGTGAATCTGGGTAAGGGGTACATGGGAGTTCTTTATCTTGCAAATATTCTGCAGGCTTGAAATTATGTAAAAATAAAATGTATCTTATAAAGTATTTATGCAGTGAATAAAGAACAAAAAAAGGATAACTGCAGTTAGAAGATGTTTATGAAGTTGGTTATGAAGATTCTTAAGAAGTTACCAATGGAGGTGCTGGTAGAACATTCAAAAAAGAAGTAAGGAAGGTTGGCCAAGTAGGAAAATATCAATATCCAAGCCAGTATAAAATGGAAATGAGAAGTGAGGAAGTAAGTGGAAGACAATAAGGATGATTTTCGATTTGGCCACTCTATTTGGAGAGACATCCAAATGCAAGAATAGAAGCCAGAAGAAGATGCTCAGTGAGATGGTTGAAAGCTAGACAGATTACTAGCATCCCCACCAGTAAAACCCTTTCAGTAACTAGAAAGGCTGCAATTTAGTACCTCCCTGACTTCTATGCTTATATTTTCCTCAATACATAAAATGGTTCCATAAACTCTTTTACATTCTGAATTCTTAATATTAATTTTTTGAAGTTGTAAATAAAGTAGCATCAGTTCTGCATTGTTACATTTCAGCTTAATTCATATTTACTGAAAATGGGAACATTTGAAAAATCATGGGCATTTATGCTATGTAGATTGATTTTTATAGAAAAATATAAAAATACGACAAGTTTGATTTTTAAAGTCTTTTCTTAGACATATAAGTACTAAATATTCAACTCAACATAGAATTTTTTTTGTTTTGTTTTGTTTTTTGAGATGGAGTCTCGCTCTGTAGCCTAGGCTGGAGTGCAGTGACACGATCTCGGCTCACTGCGAGCTCCGCCTCCCGGGTTCACGCCATTCTCCTGCCTCAGCCTCCCAAGCAGCTGGGACCACAGGTGCCCGCCACCACGCCTGGCTAATTTTTTGTATTTTTAGTAGAGATGGGGTTTCACCATGTTGCCCAGGATGGTCTCGATCTCCTGACCTCGTGATCTGCCCGACTCAGCCTCCCAAAGTGCTGGGATTACAGGCATGAGCCACCACACCCGGTAACATATAGAGTTTTTATTTGAGTATTATTTAGGTGGAATTCCATTTTAATAAATACAATAACAAATTGTAATTTTGTCTAAAAGCCTAAAATGCCCTAGTTATAATATGTATGGTTTCACTGTTTAACTTCCTATTTCATAGGGTTGCTATTTATAACCACTTCACTCAACTCTGGGGGGATTAAAGATTAAAGACTTCTGATTCACTTTGTATTTGAAGAATTTTTTTTTCCTCCATCTTTGCTCAGCTAGTGGAATCCATGATGAATTCTCATCTCCAAGGGGTAAGCTGTTTTTAGTAAAGCCCAGTAGCTGACTTATGACTCCTTAGAAATAGCATTGATTCCTTCCTTCTCCTGTGTTTTGTCTCTTCTAGAATGATAGAATCCATGTAGACACAATCAATTATCATGCTTAGGTACTGGTAAGCATGTAATGATTTTAGTTTTGTTCACTTAAGTTATTTGTGTAACAACTATCTGGGATCATATCAGAGAAATAAATAAGCACAATTAGCATTCTACTTGTTTGTTATGACTAAAGCTAGGTTGAGAAAACAGAAAAGAACCAGAGGTCACATGAGGATGAAGATAATACTAGGAACAGCATGTTTGGGAGAGTAACATCTGATAGGGGTAGCAGATTGTGGGTAGAGAATAGAATTTGGTAGATGGGTATTTTGGAGGCAAGTAGTTTGAGTAATGATTAGATCTAAGGTGTTTTCTCATCTGTGCGTGGCTGGAAGGAATGGAGATGAAGGTGAGTTTGAGAAGTTCTGGAATTATAAAACTAAGTTGTGAAGTCAAAGAAATTATAGTAGCAAGTAAATAGAATACACTAAAAAGGAAACCAAATGAAAAATAATCATTACTCTCACTGTATGTTTGTGTTCTTATTAGCAAGAAATTATTTTAACCACTGTTTTTATAGTGTCTTAATGAAAAAATACTGAAGTGAAGTGTAGCCATATTAAATCCCTCTCTTTATTTCTAGAAAGGGAATCAAAGGAGAAAATTCCCATTCTGCTATACTAAAAGACCACTAAGTAAAGAGCCTATTAGTGTATGATAAATCCCATAGCAATGTACATTATTATTTTACAGCTTCTTTGTTGAAATGAATGTTTGTATGTGTTGACCAAAGAGTGGGATAAAAAGTTGAAATTTTGTTTTGAAATATTTTAGAAATGCATAGTTGTATTGCAGTTGTGAATCTCCTTAGATTTTTAAGGAGGCTGCTTCAAGGGATGTCATTAATAATCTTCTCAGGTGCTTACAAAGCATGTGTCTGTCAGCAGAATTAGAGAATCACCCAACTAGAGAACAGGTTTCACAATACCCTGAGACCTATTTTGTTCATTAGAGAGGAAAATGGCTTGTTTTGAGTCTAAGTTGACATGCTTGCTAATTTCAGCAGTAAAAGTTGTTCATTATGGTTAGGTTTAATTTAGAAACTGGTAAGGTTCAGATTAAAGTTGATCAAGTTACTTTTACAACACATTTCTTAAATGAACTTTGAAATCTTAAAAGGAAAAAAAGTATAGCAAACATTGAGTAATGTATGTAAAACTGAGAAGCAAAAAAATCTGGTTATTTGAGGGTGAATTAATATCAAATCACGGAACAACAACCCAATAAAGATCATCTTTGTTATATAAAAATTTCCAAGTATCAAAAAACACAATTTTTCATTTAAGATATACACTATACTGAATATATTTGTCCACTGCCACATGCATAGTGCCTAGAATAGTACCTAGTGCTTAAAAATATTTATTAAAATCAATGGATGAGTAAATGAATTAATGTATTTTGCCAGCTCTGTGTATTTAATGTTCTTTGTTAACTTTGAGGTGAAAATTTGACTTCATCTGAGGTTTCTGGGTAAGTCCGTTTTAAAAATTCTATTGAATATATTCAAACATTTTAGGGTAGGCAATTCCAAAGCAACCTTTCAGCTTCCCATGTCACAGATGACCAGAGTTTCACATTGTAACACTGGAAAACATCTTATTTCATAAAATCTGTCTGCTACTATATGGTTCCCACTTTAAAATTTGTTCAGTACTCTCCAACTGACTTATGCCACTTACTTCAATAGCTGTCTTTGGCAGTTTGTTCCATATTTCAAACACTCTTTTGTATAAAGAAAGCATAAAAGTTAGAAACCTGAAAATTGGATTTTTCTTCTGAGCAATCACAGCCTACAAATGTGGAAAATTTGTTAAAAGTTAGCTCCTCCAATTTTTCAATACAGAGAGGAGAAAGTGCCTGGAGTAGATGTACAATGTTTGGATAAGTTTGTTGCATTATTTTACTATTACTGAAAGCAGTTGAGTTTAAATCACGAAGCCTGTCTCCCTACCTCTTCACAAAAGAAACACTACGTAATGATCAAAATTTGGCCTTTCCAAAACCAAAAATGATTAGAAAATCAGCAGGAGTCAAAGAACAGAGTAAATAACTAAGTTTCATATAAGTTTCAGATGCATTGCTATCTACCACTTTCATCTCTTCATCTTCATTGGCTTCATGTGGTAGAACATCATATTTAAAATTATACAAACTTGCTGGCTTGTTTACTAGTGTGGTTGTTATAAGAAAAAAACGAGAAAATGTAGATAAAACATCTGTCACATATTGCTTACAAACTAACAGTAAATATTACTTTTATTTTCCCCAATTAAAATAAAATTTATTGAGTTTTAGAACCAGAGTTAGTCAGATGCCTTTTTTTCATCAATTTCCTCATAAATATCTCTGCGATTTTGGTCCTTAAATCCAGAGAGACTAAGATAACAGAGACAATAGACACTGAAGAAAGGGAAGAATATCTTAATGATTTACATTACTACCTATAAATTAAAAATTGTTGACTTTGTTATATTTGTATTTTTATTTAAAATAGTGCTATATTAGAGTCATTTATAATACAGGGAAATAGGAATACTAACCTCTAATCTGATGCTCTCCAAACCTGCCTAAATCATAAAAGTTAATTAGATAATTTATTTAAAATGCAAGATTTGCAGCCCTTTCCACTACATATTCGTTAGTTCTGGGGTGAGGCAAAAAGGTTTGGTGATTCTTATGGACAGGCAGCTTAGGAGAAAAGCTGATTTAGCTCATCTACTTCGCCTTTTCGTTTGACAGGTGAGGAATCTCAGGGTACAGTGAAGTTAAATAAGTAATATCTCTTAAATCGGTTGTGTGCTTTTTCTGTTTTTAAAATAAATATACCTTAATTTTGACATCACGCAGAATGATATTATAAGTATAAACAGCTATCTATCTTTTAAATACATTGTCGTAATTCAGAATAACATTTCTTACTCAAGGCAGTCTTACAGTGGTTTAAGTAATCCGAGGTACTCTGGAATGACTCAATTTGAGCCTTCAAATAAAGAAGAAAATCTATAATCAAGATTTTCTTTGAAATTTTTTTGATATCTAAGAATGAAACATATTTCCTGTTAAATTGTTTTCTATAAACCCTTACACGGTAACATCTTTTTTTATTTCTAAAAGTGTTTTGGCTGGTCTTACAACTGTACTTTACTTTGTATTATGTAAAAGGAATACACAACACTGGAGAACCCCGATACTAAGCGGTATTTGTTCTTACAGGCAACAGTGCAGGATTTGGAACAGAGGCGCCCCCAGTTGGAAGAACTCATTACTGCTGCCCAAAATTTGAAAAACAAGACCAGCAATCAAGAGGCTAGAACAATCATTACGGATCGAAGTAAGTTTTCTAACAAGCATGGGACACTCAAAGCAAGATGCATGCCAAGTTTCAATAACAACTTAAGTTCATATACTCCCCTCACATTTATAAACATAATGTGAAATAATTGTAAATGATAACAATTGTGATGAGATTTTCAGTCCATAATGTTACCTTTTAATAACTGAATGTAATTCCATTGAATAGAAGAAATACATTTTTAAATCAATTCAGGGCTTATATAGTTGCAAAGCATGCAGTGATGGGTGTGATGACCACAGTGTGACAGAACATTTGTTCTTTAGTTGTCATCTGGGCTGGCATCCATGGAGATGCCAGTCTCTCCCTCATATCCTTGGTTGTTGGTCTAAGCAGGCAGTGACTTCTTCCTGGGCCACCTTTCATTCCCGTCTGCAGTGACTTTCAGATCTGGATATGTCTCTGCTACTTTGATGCCCCCATTTTGTAATATCAAAAATCATCATACTGTACCTACCTTATGCCATACTAGGGTGGGCAAGAACTTTGGTAAGACCCATCTGACTAGACGCTGTGCATATTCTTTTCTTCCGACATACACTCCTATGTGTTTAATGGGGAGAGTGATTCACAGTGATTGTGTGTTGTGTCAGTGGGTTTCCATGGGGTCAGGAAGAGTGATAGAAGACGGAGTTGGGGAAACTCGCCACCCGGTTTCCCTCAGAGATTCTCCTCAGAAATGAGGTCCAGGTCAGCTCTGCTTTCAGGTTCTCTCAGATCTCTCTGGGTTTCCTCACTTCTCTCTACCTTCCTTCCCTCCAGGGACACACACTGGTATTGAATTTTCTTGCTTCCTCCGCAATATCCCCTCATTTTCCTTCCTACAACCTGAGGAATCCTTCGTAGTGCAGGAAGGAGGAAAACCTTTCAGCCATCTTTTTTTTTCTATCTTTGAAAACTTTTGTCTTTTACCAGGCCTAGATTTTTGAAACTCAGAAACCATGAGAATCTATGTCTTCATAATTTATATTCTGCTATGTTAACCCTTCCCCAAGGAAATGACTAGTTGTCAATATGTTGGGGAAAGTGAAAGAGTAACCAGAGTAAAAGGTTAATATTTTAAAATATTATTAGTCATACTTCCACATATTGGGTAAATACTTATTGATAATAGCTAGTATTTATTCAGTACCTCATAAGCAGTGTGTGCACGTGTGTGTGTTTCTGTGTGTTTGTGTGTACAAAATCTTTACAGAATCTTGTGAGCTATATTTTATAATCCCCATTTTACAGATGAGAAAACAGGTTCCAAGATCAGTTATTCAAATTGCTGAAGTTTACAAAACAAGCAAAGAACAGAGCTTGGAATTTGTAAATGTCTCTTTCAGGCTTGAAAATCTGCGCTCTTTCTAGTATGTTTACCATTTCCCATCTTGTTTTGTTGCTTTTGTTAATGACCTTAATCATTGGACTAAGACTAAATACTTCTTTTGTCTGCAATTATGTATGTTTTGATTCACTTCCTAAAGATATGTCTTCTTTCAGTTGTAGGGATTGCTAATTAACATAGTCTGCTCTTGGTTTTGAAAGTTTAACTCTTCATTGTTCCTTAAACAATGACTGTGGATGTATACTAATGTATTATTTTACTAACACTAGCCACTATAACAGGTAATCTCCCAAATCTTGGAGGCTTACTGCAGTAGAAATTTACTTCTTATTTTAGTGCAGTCCAAAATAAGCAGCCCTCTTTGAAGTCATTCAGGAACCCAAACTCTTTCTATCTTTTGTGTTCAGAGCATAAGACTCATATGCATTTAATGGGCAGATGAAGAAAGTATTACTCATGAAAATTTGTCATGAGCCAGGCCTGGAAATGGTGTGTGTTAATTTTGTTCATAGTCTGTTGGATGGACCTTGTCACATGGTCACACCTGACTGCGAGGGAAGTATGGAAATAGTGTACACTGTTGAGCCTAGGAAGAGGAACAGATTTGGTAAGAAATTAGTCAACCTCTGCATAGCTAATTTGAACAAGGAAGAATGCACTTATATTCTATAAGTTTGTGTAAATTATAGGATGTCATATGTATAACTTGCAAGGCAAGAGCAAAATTGCCTTGTAATGACCAACATAGATAGCTGTACAATTGATTTAGCAGAGCATTCCTCCACCATACTGGAGCCTTGAGGGTTCTCCAACAGGTTGCAACACACTGACCCAAAAGAGTGAATCTTAGGAGTGATTTACTCAATATGAGACTGAATTCCCATTACACAGATAAGTGATCAGTTTCTTGCCTGAGAAATATGGAAATTTGGCAATGATGTTTATGCAAATCTGAACATACTATACAGAGAGTCATTTATTGTTTTACTAATGAAAAATAACTTCAATTTTTTCCCTAAGAGGAAAATAACATGAATGTATTATACAGTATTTGTTCAACATTGTCTGAACATTTTCCATTATCCCCTGCATTTTTTTGATATTGCATTGACTTTTTCATGATAGAGATTAAAATTGAATGACCAGAGGGCAAGTTTGTATCTCTCTGCCAATATTCAGTGATTTGAATAGTTCTTCTTTTCTAAGCTTTTGTATTTTAGGAATGAATACCTTTATGAATATTGGCAGCATAGTGGAAAGACTCTAATCCAAATGGTCCAAGCAAGCATTTTCTTAAAAGCAAGTGTCTGAGACATGTCATATTGCTTATTAAGAGCCTAAACTGGAATCTTAGTTCCAAATATGCCTGGAGCCTCTAAATGATACCAGGATATTCTGACAAGATATGTTTATCTAAACAATGTCATTTGCAGCCCTGCTACACTTCGGTTTCTCTCTCCATTTGAAATCTATAAAATGGGATGGAAATTCAATACTCATAAACTTTCAATCATGTTCAAAATAGAATTTTTCTTAGTAAAGATTTGGTTTTCAGGGAAAGGACAGAAATAAAATACTTGCTCATAAAATTGTGTTTTCTCATTTGATGATTTTGGTCTTCCTTTTTATTGCCATGAAACTTCTAGAAATACTCAAAAAGAAATCAGCTAAATAAAGAAAAAATAGTTAATATATGTATGTAATACTATATTGAAACATTTTTCTTTCTTTGGTAAATCCCATTTCATAACTCTGAACAGTTGGGAAAATCTATACATAGTTATTGCAGTCTATCAAGAGAAAAGTTCGGTACAAAGCTATTTCTGTCTACTAGAAATATTCACGTTAAAATTCAAGTAATTGGGTGTGCAAGCCACCACCATGTTTTACTATATGAAACTATTACCATGGTATCTGTTGTATTCAGGTAATTATATTGATGCAAATCATGAGGTAATAATCTAGGTAAGAGAATACATTTTATTTAAATGCGATCAAATGAAAAATTCTCCCTCTTTCTAATGTTCAAATTGCTCATTTTTCTTTAACTCTTTGGTTTCTGAATTTGTCAATCATTGCTGGTCATTTTCTTCTGCAAAAGGGCTGGAGCAGGGAACCAAAAGCAGGTAAGATTAGAAGAATTTAAATTTTCTTCCTTGGAGGCATCTGAATTATATGAAACTCTTGTTCATGTCTGTTAATACTGCAAAGCATAATACCATAATACCTTGCATAGCACTGAAGAGGATTTGGAAAGAAAGAACGGCTTCCTTTTATCATTCTGTTTATTTCACAAATAATATTGGTGAATGCCATTCCTGTAACATTTGGATTTAAGAGCCTTGTTTCTGTAGCTTCTCCCTCTGTAACCCCCACCACTACCATTTCAGGGTTACACAACAATAGCATGCATTACTTTAAAAGGCAGCCTGCCTAGACTGGCCACTTGTTAGTTTTGTAACCTTGAACAAATGGCTAATCTCAGTAAACTATATGCTCTTAGTTTCCTTCTCTGTAAAATAGGCTCACTTATAGCTATCTCATGGGTCGGGAGGATTAGATGAAATAATTAGTGTAGAACACTGAGATCAGAGTCGTAGTAAAAGCTCAGTGAATGTTGGCATTTGTTATTTTAACTATAATCTATTGGGGTGCTTTGAATGTTTAGTGCAAAATATTTAATGAGCTCTTTGGTAGCTGTTTAGTTATTTCACCCCACCCCCCACCACCCCAAAGAGAGATTTAAAAGGCAGACAGGAGAAGGTTGCTTTGGAAAAGATGGAATAAGATATATAAATAGAATTAAACAAATATTCGGGAAAGCCTTTTGTGGGAAATACTGCAAAATGTTTATGATTCTCTATAAATTTAGTAGGTAGATATTACTATTCTCATTTTAGAGACAGAAAACTGAGACTCAGAGAGCTTACGTAACTTGTCTAGGGTCTTAGGAAGATGACAAGTGAGGAAGTAGAATTCAAGCCCATGTCTATATGATTTTAAAGCCTGACACATCAAATGGAAAAGGCTGATTAGTCAAAAAAATGGGAAGATATATTTATCTGACAACTTAAAATATTAGGACTAACCTCAGGTTATTATAGTCTTGATATACATTTTTTGCTGTTCCTATTTATACTTTTGACTTCTATGTATTTGAGTGTCTAACCAAAGGATTGTCTTTTGCACGTGTTGGAGATGTACAGACTAGTGGACCCCAGTGATCTATTAGCTGTGTAACCTTAGCCAAGTTAATTCTCTTTCCTAAACTGTGGTTCTCTCATCTGTCATGTGGAGCTAATAATAGTACTTATGCTGGTAGGGTGATTAAGAAAGTAAAATTACTGGTGTTTCTAAAGTAAATATGTGGCACATATTAGATGCTCATTAAATGGTACATATTGTTATGATGAGATGGATTTGGTACAGAGAGAACCGGGGATGGGAGAATATGAAGGGTGTATAATGTGGCCTTTTAAACCAAGGGAAGGACTTCTGAAACAGAATTCCAAGTTTTAAGAGGGAGTTGTTTATTTTGGAATTATTTTTTCAGCTAAGAATTTTTCAACCCAGTCCAGAATTCTTAGAGAAATTTAGTGATAGCTTATAAATTTTAAGAAAAGGAGTTCACATTATATTGCATAAAGAA